TTTTTTTATTTCAATATCAGGGATATTATGGCAAATTATGCAGACATCATCTTTACAAACAGTGATGAAGCCAGAGCCTTTTGCGGTTTTCCCTCAAACGAAGGCCCTGTTTCTGCCGCGAGGTACCTAAGCCATTTTGTTCCGTTTGTCTCGGTAACAGATGGCCCTAAAGGTTCGTATATCGGTGTAAAAGGAGAAGCTATTTACATTCCCCCATCGCCATGTGTCCCGGTAGATACTTGTGGAGCTGGGGATGCCTATGCTTCTGGCATATTGTATGGTTTATTACGTGGCGCGTCCGATTTGAGAGGTATGGGCACCTTAGCTTCTAAGGTTGCATCCACAGTTGTTGCACAACAAGGGACCCGGTTGAGAGTACAAGATGCTGTCGAGTTAGCTGAATCGTTTTCGTTCCATCATGAAAGTTCCACTATGTGATCCATTGAATTTGTTTATTGGATACTTTAGTTGTAGTTTATTGAACTGTGTGTACCATAACTAGTTGTAGCTGGTTCTATGCATGCCGATTGGCGATTGACGACATTATCATTATGTACTGTGTATACCGGACTGATGGATCATATTTCGTGGAAGCATGTATATAAAACCGAGAGGTGTATCTTCTATCGTGTGATTTGCATGGATTTACATGCAAATTATATTGTGTTATATATGCTAATAGAGATGTGTCTCTAATTAACCTTACTCAGCTGGTAGAGATCAGTACGTTTTATTTTCCCCTTCATGTCCTATTTTATTTTTATGTTGTTCTTGGATGGGACAAAACAAGAAATTAAGGCAGCACCACCACTGCCAGTAATGTCTTTTTACCAAGACATGGTAGAATTCGGTTATTTTTTCCCAGAAATAACTATGCAAAAGAGTGTTAAAAATCATAGCTACACTTCATTGCATAATATTTGCACATTGCAAAAAATTAGCTCACAACATTTAACTGTATTACAAGACCACAACAATTTTGGTTAACAAAATGAGAAGACATAAGGCACTTCCACACAAAGCCGATAGGTGTCCCACCGAGTTCAAGAGTGCTTGAACGAAGTTGATACTCAAAGTCCTCTTCGGTTGAGAGTGCGCGCACGTTGCGTGAGAAATCTCACCTGATGTGATGGGCAGCAGTTGCAGAGGGAAAAACTACTCTTCTCTTCTCTTTTCTACGATCGACGCGCAGCTTTGGGGACTTGGCCTTTGTTGCGTCTTTGACAGACCTGCTTGTTGTGAAGGGAGATGAAAAGATGGGAACAAAAAAGAAGATATTAGGGAAAGCCAGCTGGTAGAATAAACGTTAAAAATTGTCCTTTTATGAGACGTACTTTTGCGGTAAGAAGGGATGTTCAAAGTTAGGCACGGGTCTTGCATGTGGGACCAATGTCCTCCGCAGCTGTTTCAAGGCCTTCTCCTCCTCCATCTTTAGAGTGTAAGAATGAATATTAACAATGAATATTGAACTACATGTTATTGTAGGTTTAAGGATGAAATGAATATATATGTGTGGATTATTTATAATTTGTGCTTACCATCCTTGCAGAATCTTCCTCCTCTCTGTATCTCTTGTAAGCCATTTCTTTCTCCTTAATCTGTAAGGCAGATTTTCGTAAAAACTTTTCGCAACAGCAAAGAAACGTCTGAATTCTGTGGAAGAGTATGGAGCTTCAAACAAATTGAAAAAAAAAAAAATGACCTTTTTATCAAATTCTGCTCTATCAGCAGCCCGGTGCTCGACATGCAGATTGAATTCCTGAACTTCCGTGAGGGGCTTTCGTTCTCTCACAGGAACTGGAATAGGGTCCCTGATATACACACACCACCAACAGCTCACATTACACGAGTTGTTTCCAATATCAATAAATAAGTTTAAAACCACTCTGAAGCAATAAAAAAAATTGGAAATCATGAAAAGAGTCAGGTGGACGTACTCGTTCAAGATAGGTTGTGCTTTGAATTTTCGCATCTCGGCTTCTTCCATCTCCGTCCTCCTCCTCTGTTCCATTTCTCTCTGCATCTCCTCTTCGTGTCTCAGCAAGCTTTCCAGCTGAAAAGGTTCCGGTTTTGTGCATGGCTTTGGCTCTGGCTTTGGTGGAATCTAAAGAAAAGGGTATGTCAAGTCTAGCAGTGTATGTAATAAAGTTTTTTTTTTTTTTTTTTTTTTTTTTTTTTTTTTTTGTCTTAAGTACATACCACTGGGTAGTCAGTTGTATAAGGATATGGGTGAGCTTTTGGTATTCTGGCTCTCTCCTCTTCTCGCTGTTTCTGTAAGAGTTCCTCGGCTATTCTTTTTTCCTTCTGTGCCCCTCTTTCCTGAAAATATTAAGAGAGACGTTTTCAAAATAGAACATGGTATTCTCAAATCAATTTGTGCTGAGAAAGTTCTCGTATATACCTCGGTGTGGAGATGGAATGGATTTGGTGTGGTATTTCTAGGAAGAGGCTTCTCCTGATGAGATTGTGAGTTTATTGAGAGCTGAATGCAGCAGGAAAAAGAGTTAATTTTATTTCTAATTTTCAGTTAAATTATGAATATAACAAATGTAAAGTAAATTGAGACAGCAAACAATCATGATCAATTTACCTTATCAAATAAATCTACAACAGCAACTGGTGGTGTGATTCTTTTATCTATGGCAAAGTGAAATTCCTCAGGAATAGTGATCGGCTTTTTCATATGAGAAAATATTCCCATTTCCCCTTTGCTCTCGAATATCTGCAGAATACGAAGAGGGGTAGAAAGAAAGTTACTACTCTGTCAAGTAACAAAGCACAAATAATTCTCATAATGTCTTGAAGACTAGCTAACCTTTTTATTTAATGGTCTTGCCTTGAACTGTGGAATATTCTCAAGTTCCTCTTTTTCTAGTTCTTCAGTGCTTTTGATGGTCGGTGGACGAGCTCTGAGAGACGTCTGAAGGAGAGGCGATTTTGGTGCTGTAAGGTGATTAGGTTTCCATTGATGGTTCTGCAGTTACCATGATCAGTTAGTAAGTAAGCTTACAAAAAAAAAAAAAAAAAAAAAAAAAAAAAAAAAAAAAAAGAGAGAACAAAAGGAAAAAAATTACAGTTGACAACTAAAAAGTATTCCAGCCATACCTGAGTTGCTGTAGATTCTGTCGAGACCACAGTGGATGTTTCTGCATTCTGAATGGCCCTTGACATGGTCACCAAATGGAATTCCTGTTCAGGTCATGATTAATTTTGGGTTAAACTAAATAACATAATAATGCTTTTACTTTCTTCAAACATCTACCAGCAAGTGAATTAGTACCTTAAATTCGGGAGGATGCGGAGTGCTTCTCGGCAATGGTGGTAAAGCAGGGGCCTCAAAAATCTATGAATTGAAGTCACATTGTTGTTACATGTCCAAATAATATATCGGAAAGACTATATAGCAGGTTGATAACTCCTTACCTTTTTGTTTAGTGGACGAGCCTTAAACTTGGGGATTTTAGCCATGGCTTCCTCCTCGAGCTCAGCGGAACTTTTAATCTTAGTAGAACGCACACGCTGTGATGTCTCAAATTCAGGAGTTTTCGGCCTTGTTAAAGTGAGCCTGGGCTTCGTTTTCATAGTTCCAGCAGCACCATTCTGAATATTAAAAAATTTAGACATGCACCGAACATTTTATGCTTTTCAAAGCCAGACTAGGTAATGGATGTGAATAAATTACCTGCGAAATAGAACTGCTTCGTGACAGAGACATCTCTCTTGTCCCCGACTGAAATTTCCTCATCATTTCTGCCGTAGACACAAATGGCTGTGCTTGTTCTCGAACGTACATCTTCGAATGAACGATATGAATTAAAATTCTAACAGTGTTTGAAAGATGTATAATAATATCCAATAAACATGTGTGTGTATTATAGAAGACTACCTTTCTGTCCTCTTTCTTTGTTTTGATTTTAGCAGTTGAGGAGCAGAGGCTGGAACTGCTACTGATGAGTCCGGTTCTTGTTTTGTGAGGCAGATTTGAAGGTTTACCGATTGTCAGAATCTGAAAAGGGGGAAAATTTTCAATACTGTAAGTATAATCACCATAAAGAAGAACAAGAAAATCATGACATTATAAAAATTGCACCTGCCGCGATTTTCCATCTTCCAGTTTTTGCCTTTTGATGGCAGGGTTTTCATGGGCAAGGTTGGGAGTTCCAACTAGGTTCTTCGAGTTCGTGTCCCTGAGGAACACAATCCAAGTATTAGGAGAAGTAAAATTAATTAGTTAACCGAGTTCCATGGACAATAATATGGTTACTACAAATTACAACATCTCTTCTCGTACCGTTTAACACTAGCCGGCTTAGTGCTTTTGACTAGTGATTTTGGCAACTTCTTCATTGAGTTCAACTGTGACGGATTCTTGAGAATGCTGGCTATTCTTTTGGCTGTCTGAGTCTTCTTATTCTCGATCGGCTTTTGTGGGGCTGGGGTGCAGCAAGCGTCAACAGTTTCCAAATGGAGAGATGAGAGGGCCTTGCCTTCTACAGGGCTGATCATGACGAGAAAAGTTCAAGAAAACAAAAATGTCAAATTCCAATAACAATATCAATTATAACTGGCAAAATGATAACAATACTTGAGAAAAGTCTTCATGAGAAAAAATAACATACTTCTCAGTTTCTGAGGAGGACGAGGACTTCGCACTTTCTTGATTGCATTCGACTCCAGCATCCAGTTTCTCAGTTCCAGGATTCTGTATTTATCACAAGGATCATTGAAAGTATGAATAACAATATCAATTGTAATAATAATGATGGTAGTAACAGCAATATTGTCCTTGTTCAAATTACTAACATTTTCTAAGGTTTTGGACTGAATAAGATCTGGCTGAGCCCCATTGTGTGGTTCCACTTCTTCATTAGATTCAGCTGGGATAACTTTTTCCTGGGGTCTGAAACATATAACGAAATTATAGTTATCTTCTCCCAAATAAATAAATTAAATTATATGGGTATAGCCGTGAATACGCCAAAGTTTCTGACTCAAGCATCCCAAAGTCCAAACTGTGAAGAAACTCATACATTTTTTTATCTAGTGGCATTGGTGATGACTCCTTAGTAGAATCTGATGCACTAGGAGGAGCTTCTTTAGATGATTCCGGTGCCTGTCATAATTCGGAACATTTATGCTAATTTGTCACTTTGCCATCAAAAACTTTACATATATGTAAAGAGAAGAATGCAGGTGTAGAAAATTGTTCACCTTCTGCATTTGCTCGGCTTCATCGAAATTGCAGAGAATCTGATGTTGCACATTTCTGTTAGCCTTGATTCTGGGCATGAAAGCTGCAAACCAGAAAACGAAGGCTAAGCATTAAAAAACCTCAACTCGAACCAGACGAGACCTGATAACCCTCTAAACATAAGGAAACAAGAAACTATACTATTCTGCAAAACACCAACTGTATTCTCGTCCTCATCCTTTTTTAACTTCACAAAACAAAGCCATTTATACACCAATGCAAGTTTGAGATAAACAATTTTTCGGTTGTAGAAAGCAACAAAGGACTACAGCCACTTATATAAATTGCCTGTGGAACTAAGAATGTCAGTTTACTGAAGGGTTTCAATATGCCTCAATCCCACATGAAAATAACAGGAAATCAAAGAATTCAAAGGCTCCATAACACAATTTTCATTCTAAAAAGAAAATCAGAGAAATTATCATATCACCAAATTCAGTGAAGACAAAAAACTAAATCCCTAAAAAAACCCTAACTTCACGATTCCGGTTAATCAACAAGCAAAACCCAACGGGAACACAAGACCCACCACCACCTCAATTTCCATCAAACTTCTTAAAAAAAAAACAAGGAATAAGAAGGAGACAATACGCACGTGATGGGGCGTAGGGCCGGGCCTTCTCGAACCAGAGCTCCGCCTTACGAACATCATCTTCCGTCTCCTCGCCCAGGAAATCATAAAATCGAGGAGCCGAGAACTCGTATAACTCGTCGACCATGACAAAATTACTGGAAGGCTCCTCGGACGCCGCCATTCAATCGCGCAGAGAGAGAGAGAGAGAAAACTATTCCCGTTGTTAAATTGCAGGGAATTAAAATTCGAATAATGTATTTATTGATAGATAATAAAAGGGGAAAATATAGCGCAGGAGTTATGTATGATCTCGACAGTGAGAAGAAAGTGAGGGTGGGAGAGAAAGAAGAAGGATATTAACGTTCGGATTTTTTTCTAACGGTCGGATTTTTTTGAAAGGGGAGCGAGCTTGTGACTGTTATGGAATGTTTCTGTTTGGGATGGCAACGGCTAGCAACCGGGGTTATTTGCACCAAACGTCGCCGTTTTGGTTTACAAAATTGTGTGCTAATTATATTATTACTCAAATTCATAGAAAATAGAATTTTTTAAACTAAGCTTTTATTATTTTTTGAAAAACTATATTTTTATTTCTATTTAAAAATATAACAGACATCCATAACACTCGTTTATCATTATTATAATAACTAGTGCAATACTCGTGTACTACACGAGTACTTGTTAAAAAAAATATTTTTAAAGTTAGAATAATAATAACAACAACAATTGTTTTAGTTTTAAATACTTTTTTAAAATAATATATTATTATCTATATATATATAAAATGACATTGTCACTTACACAACTTATCATCTTATATTATAATTTTTTTTTTCAATTTAAATGAGATAACTACTTTGTTAGTTTAAATTACTTTATTTTTTTGAATTAATATTAATAGATAATTTGATTTTAAATTATATAAAAGATAAAATTATTTATTTATTTTTGTATGTATAATATAGATGTCAACTCGAAACTCATCAAATTGTTCGAGACACCGGTGATAATGGTAGGAAAATAAAAAACGTAAATTAAAAGGAAAAGTGATAGACCAAAGAAAACTTAGAAATAGACAATAAAAATTGTCTAAAATATTTAAATTTGACTGATAAAATGTGCTTTGATCGAGCACGGCGACACGTGATCCATATAGCCGACCCCACCTAGTTGAATTTTAAAGGGTTGTTGATAGATTGATTGATATAAAAAAAATTGTTAATAAATAAAAAAAAATTATTTTTAATTTTTTTATAATTTTAAAAGAAATATGAGGGAAAAAGAGAGTTTAAAAAAAAAATAATACCTTCGTCGACAATAGGAATGTTATAGAATTAACGCTTTTAAAAAAACCATAAATATTCAATATCTATGGATATTCCAAGTCTAGTTATTTTTGCATTATAAATAAATTAAAATCCATCCAAACCATAAAACAAAGATAAAAATTTACATTATAAAACTCCAAAACGTGCGAACCTGCCACTTAGGCGTAAGACAATATTTAGATTTATATACAATATGGATTTTAAAAAATCCTCATATATTTGGATGGAATTCAAATCTACATACATAATTCTGAACTGCCACAAATAATTAAAGATCAATGGAAAATTTACACTTCAAAAACTGTGAATGAGCAAATATTTGTTGAGCAGATTCATCTGCATTTTTTTGGTGAAATATGTTTCGAAATTTTAAATATTCAAGCAGTCAAGACAATTTTGATTTGAATTGTGTTCTGCATACTATATATGTTATTTAGGAAATATTTTTATTCTTAATATTTACCTTATTTAATCTGCCATTAATAGTTTGTAAAAAAATGTTGCCAAATAAAAAAATGTTGGCCTTGTGGTCCTACCCGGCTCGATTCCGAATTAGTCGGTTCCCCTGTGGATCCGAAAACCGGAAGGTCCCTGTACCAAAAAAAAAAAAAATGTTTGCCAAATAATTATCCACAAATATATATAAATCTAAACTGATAAGTGATAAAGTGATAAAGTGAAAGCATTACCAGATGGCTTCAAAGAAAGATATATATAATGCAAGAAAAAAATTACTCATTCTTTCTCAATAGAAGTTTTCAATTTTAAATTATTCTCCATTTAAATCTCATCTCTATGATTTAATTTTCAACGTAAATCCCAAACAAACTATATTTTTGACATTAATAAGTGAACGATAATATTATTTTTTATAATCTATATTTTAAATACTTATATAAAAAAATATTACCTATATTTAAAAGTTAATTTAAATGAGACAATTAATTCATATGTTCATGAAAATTTTAATAAAAAAATATTTTCAAAAATAAAGTTGGGCGAATTTATAAAATATAAAATTTAAATATTATTTTAATTAATAGTTTAAATATGTGATGAAATTAGAAAATTAAAAATTGAAGTATTAAAAAAATAAAATCATAATACGAAGTATTAGAAAAACAAAACTGAACGTGAAGTAACTAAAAAAAAAAAGGGAAAAGAGCGTATAACTTATTGTATCGATGTTGTTGCATATTTATATTATTATCACAATAATAGTAAATTGTATATTTTTAAAATTTACTAGTAAAGATATTTATTTTCTTATTATAGTTATGTAAAATACAAACTATACAGAAATAATATTTAGTTTGCATAATTATGCCATAAGTTAAGTGTAGCTGAAGTCTTACATTGAGAATTAAAATATAAAAGCGATCTTTAAATTGAGATAATTTAAAATTATATGAGAAATAATAAAATTGAGCAGAATTTAAGATATTATTCTATAAGTTCTATAATAGAAGTTAAATAAATAACAAAATGTGTGCTAGCTCAAGTGGTCCATGAGGTCCTTTTATGCCCATTGGACCAGGTTTTGAATCCCCTCCTTAGCATTTTTTTTTTTTCAATTATTCCACTTAAGCGCCACGTGGCACAACTCAG